TAGTTTTTGGTTTGAGTGTGCTACTTCTTAATTTGAATGTTTAATATTTTTTTTCTTCTGGGTGTTTTTCCTTTAATAATAGGAAATTAATTAGTTTACAGTTGACCCTGGAACAGCACGGGTTTGAACTGCATGGGTCCACTTATATATGGATATTTTTCAATAGTAAGTACTACAGTACTACACAGTCGTGGTTGGTTAAATCAGGGATGCAGAGGAACAGCAGAAATGGAGGGCTGATGATAATTTAACCCCCGCCTTGTTCAAGAGTCAGTTGTATGTCTTGATTCTACTATTAAAGGCCAGCCTGAAGCAAACTATTTTCAAGTCCTGATTCATTAGAGAAATAGTTTCCTCAAAGACTGTTACTAGACATTTATTATAAGTTAAAAAAAAAACTGAAAAGAAATTCCTTTTTAGCATGGATTCAAACACCAGTTTAAGAAGTCTTACAGGTCCAGTAAATGGTTGTGGACATAGTGGATGAAACCAGACTGTTTTGCACTCATTTCTTTTAACCACTTCATGGCAATGATTCTTAAACTTGTTTGTATATTAGAATCCCCTTGAAGTCTTACTAAGACAGGTTGTAGGGCTCCGTGCTCATAGTTTCTGATTCAGAAGTTTGGTGTGGCACCTGGTGATGCTGCCTGTCCTGGGACCACACACTTTGAGAACCACTGCTTTCCATGTACTCAGCTCATCGTTGAATGAATTTTTCAGTTCACTCACATCAGTTAATGGAGGGTTGCTTAAATATAGCACCATGTGTAGTGTGTAATAAGACTACAGGAACTAGTTTCCGGATCACTTTTAAACCATTATTTAACTAATCTGATCTAGTTTCCTCATCCACAAAGTGAGGAATCACTGGTACAACTAGGTAATGTATAGAAGAGTGTTTTAAATTCTGTTGCTGCACAAATATAAAGTAGTATTGCATATTTAATTTTTTTCCGATTTGTTTATGGTTCTGTGGGTTTATAATGTTACTTTTTGTATTTTAGTAAATACTTAATCTCTCTACCTCTCCCCTATTGCTGCTTGTCCTTTTAATCTTGATTACTTAAAAAATTTTTTTTAGTTGGGGGTAAAACTAGGTTGGTTTGTTTGTT